GAGAGGAGGCTCAGAGGAGCCCCTGCTGACTTAAGAGGGAGAAAAAGAGACCACGCTGATTGCTGAGAGGAACTGGAAGGGGGGAGAAATAAAGCCCCAAACTCAGTCAGAACTTGCCGGCCATGAGTAGCGCTGTGTTGGTGCCTCGCCTCCTGGACCCCGGCAGCAGCTTCCGAGAGGATGCCCCGAGGCCCCCGGTGCCCGGGGAAGAAGGAGAGACCCCACCGTGCCAGGCTGGCCTGGGCAAGGGCCAGGTCACCAAACCCATGCCTGTGTCCTCCAGTGCTCGGCGGAATGAGGATGGACTGGGAGAGCCCGAGGGACGGGCGTCCCCTGATTCTCCTCTGACCCGATGGACCAAGTCTTTGCACTCTTTGTTGGGCGATCAAGATGGAGCTTATCTCTTCCGGACTTTCCTGGAGAGAGAGAGATGTGTGGATACCTTAGACTTCTGGTTTGCCTGCAATGGCTTGAGCCAGATGAACCTGAAGGATACCAAAACTTTACGAGTAGCCAAAGCGTTCTACAAAAGGTGCATCGAGAACAACAGCACCGTGTCCAAGCAACTGAAACCTGCCACCAAGACCTATATCCGTGATGGCATCAAGAAGCAACAGATCGACTCGGTCATGTTTGACCAGGCGCAAACCGAGATCCAGGCGGTGATGGAGAATGCCTACCAGAAGTTTTTGACTTCTGACATATACCTCGAATACGTGAGGAGCGGGGGCGAGAACCCAGCGTACTTGAGCAGTGGGGCCCTGGGGAGCCTGAAGGTGGTCTGTGGCTATCTCCCCACCCTGAATGAAGAGGAGTGGACTTGCGCTGACTTCAAATGCAAACTCTCGCCCACTGTGGTTGGCTTGTCCAGTAAAACTCTGCGGGCCACCGAGAGCGTGAGGTCAACGGAAGCAGTGGAAAATGCGTACTGGTCTTTCAAGAGGAACGATCCCATTAATCTGTACCATGTAGGTTCCGGGTACGTCTTTGCTCCTGCCACCAGCGCCAGTGACAGCGAGCTCTCCAGTGATGCGCTGACTGATGACTCCATGTCCATGACAGACAGTAGCGTAGATGGAATCCCTCCATACCGCGTGGGGAGTAAGAAACAGCTCCAGAGAGAAGTGCATTGCAGCGTGAAGGCCAATGGCCAAGTGTCTCTACCTCATTTCCCGAGAACCCACCGCCTGCCCAAGGAGATGACGCCCGTGGAGCCCGCCACCTTCGTGGCGGAGCTCATTGCTCGTCTGGAGGAGCTGAAGCTGGGGCAGGACAGTCGGCACAGCCTGGACCAGCGGCTGCAGCAGATCCGTGAGGATGAAGAGAAGGAGGACTCCGAGCTGGCGTCTATCTGTGTTTGTCTATGTGTGAGTGTGTCTGTGTAAGTCTCTGTGTGTGTTTGTGTCTGTGTCTGTGTCTGTGTCTGTGTGTGTCTCCGTCTGTCTGTGTGTGTCTGCGTCTGTCTGTGTGTGTCTGTGTCTGTGTGTGTTTGTCTATGTGTGTATCTGTGTGTGTGTGTCTGTGTCTGTCCATGTGTGTGTGTCTGTCTCTGTGTCTGTGTCTGCATATGTCTGTGTGTGTCTCTGTGTGTGTCTGTGTCCGTCTGTGTCTGTGTGTTTGGTGTCTGTGTCAGTCTCTGT